AATCGTTTTTCGTATACAATGATATATTATATCATTGAATTCAAATTTAATACCATCATTACCATCCATACAGTAACCCACTTGTAACCTACTTACCTACTGTACAGCAGAGTGATACCTATCCACTTACCCGCTTTTCTTTTTAAGAGAAACTTTTTTACAGAGGGTAGGAAAAAAACTACCATAGTCGGACGTCACGGCACAAAAGAGTTTGTTTTTGTTTGACGAAACATTATCTAATTATTATTAATTGTATTACATATTTACATATAAACTTTATAGTTATATTTATTTTTAACACAGTAGGTATCTACAACCTATTGTAGTACCTATTGGCTTCTATTTTAATTTTGGTCGGTTTTTTGACTTATGCCTTGTGATATATTGGGCACTGGCGTTGCTAACTGTTAACTAAGTTATTCCATTAAATGTGTTTATAACATAACAAAAGTTATAATTATATAGGTATGGATGAAATTATTGATGAAATAGGTAAGTATAGGTAGTCATCAAAGAAATAAAACTTRATTTGTTGAACTTTTACTATTTTAAACTCAACAAGAATGTGATTAGGACAATCAGGTTCTAAAAATAATAATTAATTGCATGACTAAAATCTAAACGTTTAATGTTTAAATGAATAAAATAATATTAATAATAATATTATAAATAGCATACAATAATTATGTAATAAAAATATTATATGATTATAAGTTGTTACAAATGTTACTTTTTCAAAATCATAATACCTTTTTACTATATTTTAACAACTTATTCAAATCTGATCTCATGCATTTTTGACTTTGACGTTGACTTTTCTTAATACCATATAGTAAGTGTATAATGCTTTTACAAACTGAAAATAATTACATAAAAAGTCTTAGCCAGATAATGATGAACAATGAACATATACACTGTTATACATATTATTATGATAGTATAKAATAGATTAGCATATTATATAATGTCGATGTGTTTTCAATACCAGGTAAAATAATATAAAATAAAAATAATCTTACCGAAATGAACGACTYGTAACTTAACTTGTACATATAAAATCCTGTAATAAAAGTTGGTTTATTGGATCTCAAAATCATTAATGTCAGTAATTGGCGTACCCTTTTGTTGCATCGCCACCAAGGAACGTTATATAATACCRTGCWAACACTTGATTGCTRAACATAKCCATAAAATAAATAAAAATAGGTATATAAAATTACATTTTATTATGCAGGTAGCTAAGTAGGTTTATAGTCCATACTTTTTGTATGATAAATTCGCCAAAAAAATTGTTGAGATATTGATGCCAAACGCTCAAAYAAATAAAACCCATCACACTGATTGTTTCGATTATGCTGACACTGATCTGAAAAAAAAAGTGAAAAACTATTATTATAGAATTGAAATAATATTTATTAAAAATATTTAAAAATCTCATAAGAAAAATGATAAAACCTTTACCTAAACTTAGTATATAATATAGGTAAAGTATTACATTATTAATACTGCACAGTAATTATATACTAGTATATTACAAAATTGCAAAAAATCAGAATTTCAATAAATTCACTACTTATATTAAATTAAAAGAAACATGATGGAATAGCATGTTCGGCGAAAAATTTTATATAGGTGTTACATAAATGACATGGTCCGTAATCCGTATTTAACCTTTAGTAGGTGAATAGACTACCAAAAAGTGAATAAGTTTACATCATATTGTTTAGGTTCAATTGCATACAAACAGATGGTGGATCATCCATAGAGATTAGGCGACGGGTTACACTTGGGAGGGAAGCAGTCGGAAGGCTAATACCTATTTGGAACGATTATCATATCTCCAGGAACAGCATTTTGCGACTGTTTAAGGCACTTACCATCTCAGTGATGCTCTATGGATCCGAAACATGGACAATTAAAGTAGAAGATGTAAAACGCCTTTGAGACGGATGTAGAAAATTTCTTGGATGGAAAGTAGAACCAACTTCTCAATTCTGGTCATGTTAAATGTGGAAACAAGACTAACAGTGGCGAGTAAGCAGAGGATCTCAAGGTTCTTTCACCACATAATAAGAAGGGATGGATCGAGCCTGGAGAAGCTGATAATCGAAAGGAAAATAGAAGGAAAAAGAAGCCGTGGAAGAACACCAATGCGTTGGATAGACAAGATCAAAATCATCAATGCTGGCATCTTCTGGGCGAGGCCATTCAATCGGCAGAAAACCATGAGCTTTGGAAAGGAATATCGTCAACTGATGGATCGCCAAACTTCCGMTTTTGGAAGACAGAGTTGAGAAGACTATGAAGAAAGTGAATAGGGAATGTTGGCATTGCTACAATAAATTGCTTATTTGAATATTTAATAATGTCATTAAATTTTTAAATATAAGGGCTGTATCTGACAACTATACATAATATAATATATATATATTATATTATATTATTATTATAGTGCATACCGTTAACTGAAATAATGCAAATGTCACCGAAGTTATTCCATGCAAATAGTCCATAAGTATTAGTGTACTAAACAGTTTACGTATATTTGCTATATAACTGTAAAGCAAACAAACGGAAAAAATATAAATTAATTGTATACAATATATCATATAGTTTAAAAGTAATTATAAATTAACATATTCACTATAATATAGCTCCATATAAGTATATATAGTTTTATGTAAAATGTATAATAATAGGTACATATCTAATAATTCTAATACATACTCAAGAATTGAGATATGATGTTTTACACATTTTCGGAGTGACGAGTAACATTGTATTTGTTGTTTTCCAGTGTAAATAGAAATCCGATTTGTACTCGAAGAATTTTCAACTGTAAAAAGCTTTTGTTACAAGTGATGCCAAAGTGGACGGGGATTCGGGTGCCACTGATTTTTTATGTAAATAAACAGTTCTAAATTAAATATCAAAATCCAAAAAGAAATACAAAACTATAAAAACGAAAAAATTTAATTCATCCATTACAGTGACCTCCATCTAGACACCTGATGTACAGTAAACCCAAACCGGTACCCACTTTTCGCTTTTTGTTGATGTAATTCAAAAACGAATAACATGCAATTAATACCTAATATTAATGAAGGTATTTTTAGGCATTGTTTGCTTATTTTTATAGCTATTTATGAACATTAATTGAAATGTTCATTTTTTTTTTTATAGTTTCTTTCCGACTTATGTTAGATTTCCTTTTTGCATCTAAGTAAAAACCTTAAACATATATCAAAAGTCTCCTCATATACTGTATAAGTTACTGCAGTTTAACAATATAAAAATTAAAAAATGTCATATAATATATGGAGTAACGTACTAATATAATTTTATAAAAAAATACTTACTTGATTTTAATATCCATAAATACTTTTGTATTAATAYAGTAATACTTACATTGTTCTAAAGTGTTTTTGTTATTATTTAGCGATGTCTTTAGTAATTCAATTTGGCCACCGATAGCATAAATAGCGCCAAACAAATATGTATCAATACCCAAGTATACTATTACAATTAACACCGACATAATAGAATGGCAGACAAAAACCACTATAAACCAATTTTCGTCCAACGTGAATGGTATCCAACAGCTCAACGGGTAGCTTTTTGGATCGTTGTAGTATTGAAAATTAGACCGATCACTATAATACGAACAATAATATAGGTAATTATTTATAAATTATCATTATGTACAAAAATTGCGTTGGTAAATATCATTTTTTAATGTACATAACATAACCCAAACAACCAAAGCATGATTGGTCTGCAGCCCGGATACAGTGGAGCAAATAGGAAAAATGTTGGGGGGGGAGCTCAAGCTCATTAATTTTTTTTTTAAATTAAAATAAGTAGGTACGTATTTTTATGTAAGTAAATACTCTATTTCTTCATTTCTAACTTTGATTTATAGGGTATCCCATGTCCCACGAGGATTTATATACGCATTGCGATATTTCACGAAATAATGGAGATATAAAAATTCTGGTTTTGTAATAAGACTAATGGGGATAAGAACTACAATTTATTAATTTTTAATTTATTTTAATGTTATGGTAAAAAAGTTAAAAATATATTTTTTTATTTAATTATTTCCAAAAACGTTAAAGATTACCATTTTGTAGAGTTTATTTTCCTGAAAATATATTGACGTTTTAAAATTTTATTTTCATAAGTTTCCTGATTTTTAATACTTTTTCTACTTTTGAAGTAATAAAATGTATTTATAACTATAGGCACACTGAAAGCATTCGACCGGCTGTACGAGAACGTGGGCGGCGCGGTGGCTCACATGTTTGATAATAACACTCCTAGTATAGTAATCTAATACAATCAAAATGGCTATAAGGGCCGATTAATATGTATGACGTGTTAAAATATGACGCTATACCCGCACACTAATAAGATAAAATATTGGACAACAGGACCACATACCTTTAACAGATTAAAACCACACACTCTATACCTATATATTTGTAAATATAAAAGGGCTTATTCATTATTCATATTTACTAAAATAAAAATAATATGATAGCAATTATTGCTGTATAAGCTATAAGTATTTGCAGTTGTCACAATAATTAATTTATATAAGATTCTATATTTGTTTTGCCAGTTACAATGACAATTTCATTTTTTTTTTTTATTTAAGTCATTTTTTTCATTAGTGGTAAGATTATTTCAATTTTAAACAAAATTTAGTGTTTCTACTAATGTTTTTTGTAAACCGGGCAAATATAGTTTTTAACGTACATAGAATATCTGATCTATCTGCACTGATTAAAAATACCGTGTGTCATTGTGGGATATTTCGGTGTAAATTATGAACCGATCGATAGTGTGCAGTTTTTTTCTAACAACACATTTGGAGTCAAAATCATAACTCATAAAGTCATAAATGTGCAATTTTTACATTCAATCTATTTCCTGAGAGGAACCCTTTATTTTATAGCCTATTGTGTGCTGTACAGCTGTTGCAGAAATTGAATGAAACAAAATAATAATTCATAATATTTTAATATAATACTCGTATTGGTGATAAATGATAATAATATTAACATTACCCTTTAGGATATGTCAACAAGGGGCTGACAATTCTGAAAAAAGCGGCGACTATACCACTGAATATATACCAAAAGCTGATTTTTTGSGTTTTCTTTAAGTAGTTGGCCGTAAACGCGTTGGCTGAGTGGCCGTACGCCACTGATCCTTGAGCTTGTATTTKCGTCAGTGCAGTTTTGAGCTGAGAAAATTTATCGTTGAACACCGTCATATAAAACCATTTGTACAATCCTGAGAAGAACAGGGTCCAAATGTCTATGGTGCTTGCCAACAGTGTAAGGTCGGTGGCGACAAACAACTGGACCGTCATCAGAAACGTGATCAAGACCAAGACGATAAAAAAGATTGTCCGATAAAAGTTGAAAGCCCGCCGAGTCCATTTCTTCGAGTCACTCGAAGAAAACACACCGATTGATCGGAGAGTATTGTACGCAAACGAGAGATACTCACAATTATTATTCTGCATATTTCAGGATGAGTATTTTATAATATTTCCGTAGTCATATATACTCAWATAATATACAATTCGAAYTAACTAYTTATTTGTGTACGACCTGGTTGTTTGGCTTATGAGGATCGTGTGCACTGTGCACCATCGTCGTCAGCTACGTATATTATAATATATTTATATAATTATATTGTTGTATAATAATATATATCATGATGCTATCCACTTACTGTATAACTTCTCGGTAATATTATAGAGTTGTTTCCAAAATGTTGTTGGTTTTATTCGTTGATTTTATACATGCATTGGTTTAATTCTATAATAGTAACCTTCTACTATATATTCACTATATTTAATGTTTCATAAGATCTAATAATATGACAAACCCAAACATAATATTGTTTAAGAAATCTAAACTATATATTTTTCTATAATAGCATAATCATTATACTACAATGTAATAAATATATAAATATATGTATGTATAA